ATCAAAGTCCTTTACATGCATCGACAACATAAAAGATATCCAATAAGTCCCTCTTCCATGCATCGATAATATATACGCTCAAATAAGACTACATAAACATATGATGCTGCAGTCATCCAAAATAACATTCTATATGCAAGTCCATAATATACAAAACATAAACGACAATGGTAGTCACGTCAACAACATGCAATATAAGTCAATTTACTGTGCCTCCCGCCAATAAACGCTCCAGCACCCTTAGTGCCTGTACCTGAAAGGGGGTCCCCACAACACGTGGTGAGATAAACATCTCAGTAAACCAGGGCCTTAGAGGATTCTTTCACCCCCAGAGTTCACTTCAAGTGTAATACCAATAACAATAAATAATAAAATATTTACATATCTATGCGGTGTGTAAAACATCTCCATAAGACATCTCTCTAGCACTCTCGCCATCCTAGGGATTTCAGATGCAAATAGTCCTACTGGCCAGGGAATCTACTAAGTATGATTACACATCGTTATGCAACATACATAAGGACACACCTCCATATGCCACACTCAGTGCATACACATACATATATCAATGCATTAAACTACTCTATTGCAATTACATACACCAACAATAACCTCTACCCCATCAGGGTTTGGTGGAACAATAAAGGGATAAATCCCAAGGTTCGAAGGTTTACCTTAGTCGCTTCCAATCTAACCTTTGTCTTGTCACCAAGTTTCCAATCAACCAAACTTTGTATATAGTAAGACCACAATCTCACAAACCAACACCTACATAAAGGTGTAATGCAATCAATCAATTGCATCCATGAATATATCAATATTCATCAACAATCTAGGAAATTCAACACATTACACAAGTGAAGAGCTTACCTATACTTGATTTAATTCACGTAACCAAATCGAGTTCCATAGGCTCAACCAATGTTTGATCACTCAAATTAGGTCCACTTGCTTCAATACTATCAACATAATGGACATTATCAATATCCAATTCAAATATTCCAACATTCATTACTTGGAATGCAAGAAACCTCATTGCATAGGCATAAATTTCGAAATTTAAGGAAGGTGTGCAAAATGATCTTCCAAATACATTTTCACCATTAAAATCCTCATCTAAACACTTTTCTCAACATGGCCTAAGCCTCACTCACACTCCAACTACCTCATTCTAGCCACATTTGCAAAAACAAAACCTAAAATGCAATTCTTTATAGAATCCATGGAAATGCTAGTTTCTTAACATGAACTCACCTAGAATCATGCAAGGAAGGGATTGCAAGCCTCCTTATAGATCAAACCACTCACCAAGCCCTCTAATCACTAGTGGGTCGCCACATTTTGATGGTGGTTTCTCTCTCCATACACTAGTTTTTAAGGGATTCTAGATTATAGGTTTTGTTTGTCTTGAGATTCTAGATTATAGGTTTTGTTTGTCTTGAGATTCTAAGCAATATTAGTCTTTGCTTTACTTGATTTCATTTAAAGATGAAGAAGTTAGGTTTTGAGCTAAATCAACAATGGTATCGGGTTTGCACATGGACAGACGAGGGAAAGAGTGAAATTTGAAGTGTTTTTAGGTTATAAAACTTGCCTTTATAAAGTAACTTCCAATTAGGTAAAAACTTATCTACCTCATTAACTTAACTCTCTTTCAAACTTGTTTTATTGGATCAAAATATTTTTACACTAATATTCTCCAACTTATTTTTAAGTTTCGGGTAATTTTGCCTGCACACATTTTTACCCCAAAGCTCTTGATAACTGCATTTATTTTTGCCTAAAAGTGACTTAATTAAATTAATCAGACACTCTAACTAATTAATTTCTAATATGCATGATAAAATCATTAATCACGTGCAATTTCATTATTACACAAGTTAGGGTTATTATATTACCCCTTTTAGCAACAGAAGTAGACACATGAGTAGAAACATATCTAGAGTTGTGGAAGTCCAAATTAAGCTTATGATACCTTGTTGGAAAGCTTAGTGTGTCTAGTTTAACATAATAGAAGATGAGAATTTAATAATACACATGTCAAGTGCAGTGTTTGTAAAACCGAACCTATATAAGGTTAGTGTAATGAGTAATAATGTATTGTTGTTTCGTTGGTTTATGAGAACCACTTAGCAATCTTTGTATATGCTTTATGTGATATTTAAGTAGTAGAATTTATATTCTGCAATTGATTTTAGATATGATCACATTAAGGGAATTATTTTGAATAAGGTTATTTAAGAAAGAAAACGTCGTATATAAAAGAAAATGAAATTATTTTGAATAAGGTTATTTAAAAATTAAATTATTTTTGCTGTAAAATTATTGCTTTATTCCAAGTTTATTCCCATGAGGGAAATACCGATAAATTTGGCTAGAGCAATCCTTAAGTTAAGGATTAGAGTAGTACTGGAATAATTTAACTAGATCAATTTTCATGAGCTTAATGGGTTGAGTTATTCTTTGCATGAAACCTAAGGCCCAACCAAAAGAAAACCCAATTCAACAAAGGAGACAACTTGCAGAAAAATGCAAAAGGGGGCAAAAAAGCAAGCAGCAACGCTTGAGCAAAAAAGCAACCTATTGAGCAACTCCACATTAGCGATAGCAGAAGAATGTGGGAATAACGCCTCAACCATGTAGATTTCAAACAAAATGCTGCAAAAGGAAGGGGACCACAACAGAAATAGGGCTGAGCTGGCAAGGAGGAACACTCTGATTGTAGAGGATTTGAGGAAAGATGGACTTTAGATCTAAGGAGAGGCTGAGATCCTGAGTTGGAGGAACTAGTATCCATTACTAAAAAAGAGCAGAACCTTTTCAGCAGGCATCTTCTTCATCCTCGAGTTATACCAGAGTAGCAGAGAGTCTTGGTTTTTTTGTAATTTTCAGTCTTTATTTTTTATCATGCTCCTTATGAGATAAATTTCTAAGTAGGTTAAGGGTGAGGTAGAAGTAGCCCTTTTTGTCTTAGGATGAACTTGTAAAGAATTAATGTTTTCCTTAATGAATTATGAGATGTTTCTTGGTTAAATGCTCTAATTTTGTAACTCCCTTTGGTTTGCAACCTCATCCCAGGGCCACTTGATCGATGATACCCTTACAGAGAAGTGTGGAGCAAGATTAGAAATCTTAGGATATTTTGCTATGAGTCAGAGGAATATCCAGTAGGAGGAGCACTGTTATGTGTAAATCACTTTTGCTAGTGATCCCTTCAGCCATGCTCTTCTGAGAAGGCAAACATAATCTTCTTAGATTTTCAATTCGCGGATCTCCTAGTATGATTTGGTGTAAAAGCCTTTTGCTCCAGTTTACTTGGGAGTTACTTAAGCCGTTCAAGGTGAAAGGAGCGTAATTCCTTTCTAAATCCATATAACATTGAAGGAACAACCAAGAGGGAAAAAATACTGATCCCAAGACCTACTGTTTCCTTTATTGATTTTACTTCTTCTAAATCACTATTTTACACCATACTTGATACTTTCAAACCTCACAATTGCTCTTGATAATTATGCTACAATACTCGATTTGTTAAGCTCTTGATGGTATTTGTTACTTTTAAGTTCTCTGTTACTTATTTCATGTTCCAATCTTATCCTTCTCTCGATTTATTGTAATTTGAGTTCAGTGAAGTTAAGAAAAACACCCAGTACTTAGCCCTTCTAGATTGGTTAACTTGTTTAACTAGCTGATGGCAAGTGTTCTTTGGTGAATCCTAACTTAGAACAAGTTGGCTCCTAAACATGAGTGCTCTTTACTTTTAATTGCTCCTCGAGTAATTTCATTTCTTTCGAACACAACTTTTACATTTGTTCCCTGAGTACGGTAATCTGGGGCTCACATGAAACCCTATATTAGTTGATGCGTATGCTTGCGCAATTTGTATAAATTTTCTCTCCTTTGATTAATTGCTCCATGAACATAGTATTTGCTATGCATTACTTTTGTTCCCATATTTTTCTGAGCTCATCTTGACTCAACATACCCCAAAACTCATTGTAATTACACTTTTATCTAAAAAGTGACTTGTACCGTAAAACTTAGATTTTATATCTAATTTATTTGAAAACTATTTGTAATTGAACCTTTATCTGAAAAATGACTTATATTGTAAAAATTAGATTCTATATCTAATTTAACTAAAAATTATATGTAATTGCATTTTTATCTGAAAAGTGAGTTATACTGTAAAAATTAAAATATGTATCTAATTTATCTCATCATTAGATTTCTGATCAAATTAATATATAACACATTATGAAAAATTTCTAAATTTCCAGTATAGGGTTATTATAAGTAGCGCATAATTGGGACAACGTGAAAAATATTTTAGTTCATTTAAATAATTACTTGATATATAAAGCATTTCGGATCACAGTAATTATTTTAAAAAGCCGAGAAATTAATTAACAAATGCTCTTAAAAACAATTATATATTAGTAAAACCAAAATTTTAATTATATTATCCATTTATTACTTTCAGGGGAATTGAGCACATTGTTAGGCATAAATCGGTCTTGTTTTTCACAAAAGAACTTCCAAAGTTCACCAATATTTTTATAATCTTCCTTAAGCCATCATCTACCTTATAATATATACCTGGGTCACGTAATTTTATAAATAGAAATACTCAACATGATACTTTTCTAATTCATTAAATTATATATGGGTTTCCTTTTTTTACGGTCAATATAAATAACAATTTATTTACATTGAATCCAAAACGATGTCGTTTTTAGATGAAAATCAAGTTATTTTTACAATTATAATTTATTTTAGGGTTATAATAGTATTTTCCATTATAATTTTCTAATTTTATAACCCAAAACAACATTATTGTGAGAGTGAATGTATATAACTTATTTACTAACGTCACACGCTAGAAATATTAAACCCATTATATATTATATATTATCATGGAAACACAGGACACTAATAGTGATATGATAAACTAGTGCAAACAGAAGAAGTTACGCCAGCGTGATATCATTGATGTTGTATCAACGACCAATCTGAAAGATTGTGGTTGTGGAAGCTGCTGCTCCTGAGAGTACAGATGGCGCAGGAGCATGATATGTTGGAGCATGATATGTTGGAACAGGCCTCTTTGGTGGAAGGTTCGGCATAGCAGCCTCAAAATTAAGCAATTGAATTGCTTGTCGTATTGATGGTCTCAGATTTGCGTCTGGGTGAGCACACCACAATCCCACAATCATCAAACACTCTCCTTGTTTCTCATCAAAATCCTTCTTCAAAATCTCATCCATTGCCACAAGCAGCTCCCCTCTGCCATAATGACCCCAAACCCACTCAATCAATCCCATTTCATCATCTTTGTCCTTCATAACATCAACGGCTTTCTTACCAGTAGCAATCTCCAAGGCAACAACCCCAAAACTATAGACATCTGACTCCTTACTTGCCCTACCTGTACTCACATATTCAGGAGCCAAATAGCCCAATGTTCCAGCCAACCCTGTTGTTTGTGGCCCAATTTCATGGTCCATGAGCTTAGCCAACCCGAAATCTCCAAGCTTGACATTGAAACTTGAATCTAGCATAACATTGCTTGATTTGATATCCCTATGCACCACACATCGTTCCCATTCTTCATGTAGATAGAGCACTGCAGAGGCCAATCCAAGAGCTATCTTGTACCTCACACTCCAAGGAAGAGGTGCCCTTTTACCGAATAAATGAGAATCAAGGCTACCATTTGGCATGAACTCATAAACAAGCATAAACTCACCTCTGTCATGGCACCAACCCAAGAGCTGCACAAGATTCCTGTGTCTCAGTTGGCTAATGACTTTAACTTCGGTTACATACTCTTTCTTCCCCTGTCTAGAACCCTTTAATATTTTCTTCACAGCAACTGCTAAATCTAAATCAACAAAGTAGCCTTTGTAAACAGCTCCAAACCCACCTTGACCTAATTTCCTGTCCTTGGAGAAGTTATTGGTAACCAAAGCAAGCTCTCTGTGTGAGAACCTTCTTGGTCCTGCTCCTCTTTCAAGGTCATCATTGATCGAGGTTAAATTCATAGCCTCTTCTTTTTTGTTTTTGTTTTTGTTTTTCTTCCTCCAGAGTAACACACATGCTGCTGCAATTGCTACGACAACTAGAACACCACAAGAGACAGTTAGTATCACAACCAACCTTGTCTTCTTTGTATTATTTCCACCTTTATCCAAAGTTGAGTTGAACTCCCATGACATAAGATTATGGCCTTCTCCTAACGAACCTGTTGCAGCAGAAAATCCGATTGCAACCCATTCAGGCAGGACCGTCCTTAAATCAATTGGATATGAAAGACTGGTATTTTCTTGAGGATCAGAAGTTCTTTGGTATTTCCAAGTTACGCTTAAATTCTTGGTTGTAGAACTGTAGCTAATCCAAACATCAGCAGTGTCTCCACTATGTAGACTAGCATTCCAACGAGTCAAAACTGATGAAGAAATTGAATTATTGTTGATCCCAACATGTTGCATGGTCTCACCCCAACCAGGATCTGGGTAAGAATCGAACTCTATATGAACAATTGGGCTAGGGGATGAAACTTTAGTTGTGGTGTTGAATAGGCCCAGAAAGCCACCAGAAGAATTGGGTGGGATTTCAGTTCCAACAGCAGCAAGGAAAAAGGCAAGTCCATGGCCATACTGAGTTTGATTTAGAGTGTCAATAAAGAAAGTGTAATGAGTTTTGAAGTCAGTGAGTTGACCTGTGCTAGAGTCCCAAAGTAACACCCTATTGGCATAGATGACCCTTCCAACTTGACACGTATACTGATTCAAGTTGAAATCAACACCTGATCCATCACGAAGTCCTGCAGATCCTTGGTAGAGTATGTTAGCATTACCTGGATTAAATTGAGGAATTTTGAAGTGAATTGAATTAGCAGGGAGGTTAAAGAAAAGACAGGACAAAAATAGTGGAAGAATATATGAATAGCAGAAAGTGGCAGCCATGCCTTGAGCTTCGAAGAGTTCAGAAAGGTTGAGCTTGACAGGGTAAAGATGATGTTCTGAATATAAATGTTCGATCAGATGGAATAAGATAACATAACTTATATAATGACTTCCCTAGCAACGATTTCCCTCGCACTATACATTGCAAGTCCAGGTTATGAAGAGTGATTTTAAATTATATATATGATGACTTCAAGTGTACGATTTGCTGCTGTTTTTATTCCCAGTCAATATTTTTATTTTATATGGGGTTATTGAATCTGTTAAAGGATATAGGTTCTATATCAAGGTGGGTCCCTCTTGATTTATTATTTTATTTTTATTTTTAATGAGACCACGTCAAGTTTATTTTACTAACATCGTGTGACATGAGATTCCTTTAGCCATTTATATAAAAAAAACCTAAAAAACTATATTTTTAATATGAGATTAATATTTTTTATGTTATAGGAAAAAATTATCTCGTACACATGAACCTCACACTTCTATGTATGTGGAATTTATATATTTTTTTCTTCTCTTTTTTCTTTTCGTATAGCCTTATATGAAATTCATATCTTTATGTATGTGTAAGAAATATATTTCTTATAATATGAGAAACATTTACACTTTTAATATTTGACATTTGAAAAATCATGAACATTACAGTTATGCATTTAAACAATTTTGTTACGTACGGGTACTTCTCCCAAAAAAATCTATTTTCTGAGATTAAGTGTGCTAAAATATTAATGAATTAGTAAAGATACCTCGGTGCCCTACGGAGAAATTTTCCAACAGAAAATAAAGCAAAATAATATATTTATATAAGGGAAAATGTGTATCATTTTAAAAGATATAAAATTGTGTTATTTTAAGAGAGAAAAAGAGATAGATAAAGATAGAGAGAGGGTTGACAAAAAAAAGTAAAGGTGTAGGTCTCACATCTTTGTAATAGTAAAATGATATAAGTTGTATCATTTAAAATAATAAATATTTTTTCCTTTCGTATAATTACGTTGACCTCTTCAAGGGTTTGTTAACTGTGCTTACGCCTTTTTTGTTTGAAAAATAGCTCTTGCCTGCCTTGCTTTTTGTACAGTTCCTATCCTTTGACAATTTTTTATAGAAAAACTACACATATCTTTTCTACATCCTCGTACGCATCATATATAATTTCTTTAAAAATAACAAAGAAAAATAAATGTAACTTTCTAAATAGAAGAGTCTAATTATAAGGAAAAAATATTTTTTCTTTTAAATGACACACCTTATATCTTTTCACTTTCATAAAGATGTGGGACCCACATTTTTTTTTCCTTCTCAATTCTCTCTTTTTCTTTATCTATCTTTTTCAATTTCTTAAAATAACACAACTTTACATTTTAAAATGATACACAATTTTTTCTTATAATAATCACTGGCCTTAACAACGTCACCATAATTATCCCTAAAAAAAAGAAGGGGGAGAAACATATGTTGAATTTTGGACAGCATTCAACATGGAAAATTAATTAGATGGTCTCTTTTTCTTTCGTATCCTTCTTCCTCTCTCTCTCTCTCTCTCTTCTTTCTCTCTACTCGGCTCACATGAGCCGGGTCCACCAAATATCTGCTCTTCAACGGGTACATATTACTAGCTTTTAGGTTTTCACTTTTAATTGGACGCTAAATGTTCGTGACATGTTCCCAACGTATTTTTTATAAACTGATTAAGATTAAGAGTGTTTGAAAAGAAATATATCCTGACAATTAGGGTTGGCAAAACCTGCTCCGGCCCGGCTCAACGCGCATTCAATCCGAAAAAAACGAGCTAGGTTAGGATTGACTCAAAAAAGAAAAATGAGCCAGAAAATCCAACCCAACCCGACCCGAGTCGGGTTAAGGTTGGCTCTCGGGTTGGCTAAAAAATATGGTTCGCGGGTTGGCTTGAAAAAATAGGTCGCGAGTTGGCTCGACAATTGCTTGTGGGTTGGCTCGTTTTCAGTCTATTTAAATGACCATGTAGTATTAATGCACCAGACATGTGGCTTCCATCAACTTAAACAAAAGGTTACAAAATGAGATATAAAAGCAAAATATTTTAGTTTCAAATTTGTTTCACAACAAATTTGCATCAACATCAATAAATAATCAGAACCACTTGCTACCAAGTGGGTAAGATATTTGAACCAAACAAAGTCAGCACAACCTAACAATATAAAAATGGCATGGATGTAAGAGAATTAGAGACTTAGGTTTAGAGAAGGAAGAAAAATGACAGCATGTGTGGATTTTTTTCATTTTTGTATATTATATTTTGTATTTTTTATAAAAAAAATACTCAACCAGCGAGCTGGCTTGTTTGACCCGCGGGTTGGTTCGTTTTTCTCACGAGTTGGCTCGGGTTGACAGCTCATTTTTGCTAACCCATTTTTGCGGGTTACGAGCCAACCAGACGGGTTTGCTTATTTTTGCCAACCTTACTGACAATACAACTGTTAGGTCCTGGATAGACCGTATTGCTATACCGTGAGGTATGCGCTCAGAGATAATGTATATGAGGTGTATACTAGGCTTATAGCCGAGGTCCCAATCACTGTGCACAAGCAATAGGCTTATAGCCAAGGAGTGAGTGTATGTACAGTGTGGACAATATTCGTAAAGATGATGTTCTGCATATAAATGTTCGATCAGATGGAATAAGATAACATAACTTATATAATGACTTCCCTAGCAACGATTTCCCTCGCACTATACATTGCAAGTCCAGGTTATGAAGAGTGATTTTAAATTATATGATGACTTCAAGTGTACGATTTGCTGCTGTTTTTATTTTATATGGGGTTATTGAATCTGTTAAAGGATATAGGTTCTATATCAAGGTGGGTCCCTCTTGATTTTTTTTTTTTATTTTTTTTTTTAATGAGACCACGTCAAGTTTATTTTACTAACATCGTGTGACATGAGATTCCTTTAGCCATTTATATAAAAAAACCCCTAAAAAACTATATTTTTAATATGAGATTAATATTTTTTAGGGAAAAGTTCACCAATGTCCTTGTGATTTGTTTCAGAATCACTTATGTTCCTGTGGTTTTTTTTGTATCACATATGCCCCTGTGCTTTGTAAAAAATTAAAAACCACAGGGACATATGTGATAAAAAACATATCATTTTGCAAACTATAGGAGCATATGTGATAGAAAAAAAATACAGGGACATAGGTGATTCTGAAACAAACCATAGGGACATTGGTGAACTTTTCCCTATTTTTTATGTTATAGGAAAAAATTATCTCGTACACATGAACCTCACACTTCTATGTATGTGGAATTTATATTTTTTTTCTTCTCTTTTTTCTTTTCGTATAGCCTTATATGAAATTCATATCTTTATGTATTTGTAGGAAATATATTTCTTATAATATGATAAACATTTACACTTTTAATATTTGACATTTGAAAAATCATGAACATTACAGTTATGCATTTAAACAATTTTGTTACGTACGGGTACTTCTCCCAAAAAAATCTATTTTCTGAGATTAAGTGTGCTAAAATATTAATGAATTAGTAAAGATACCTCGGTGCCCTACGGAGAAATTTTCCAACAGAAAATAAAGCAAAATAATATATTTATACAAGGAAAAATGTGTATCATTTTAAAGGATATAAAATTGTGTTATTTTAAAAGAGAGAAAGAGATAGATAAAGATAGAGAGAGAGAGTTGACAAAAAAAAGTAAAATTGTATATCTCACCTCTTTGTAAGAGTGAAATGATATAAGTTGTGTTATTTAAAATGATAAATATTTTTTTCTTTTGTATAATTACGTTGACCTCTTCAAGGGTTTGTTAACTGTGCTTACGCCTTTTTTGTTTGAAAAATAGCTCTTGCCTCCTTTGCTTTTTGTACAGTTCCTATCCTTTGACAATTTTTTTATAGAAAAACTACACATATCTTTTCTACATCCTCGTACGCATCATATACAATTTCCTTAAAAATAACAAAGAAAAATAAATGTAACTTTCTAAATAGAAGAGTCTAATTATAAGGAAAAAAATATTTATTCTTTTAAATGACACACCTTATATCTTTTCACTTTCATAAAGATGTGGGACCCACATTTTTTTCTTCTTCTCAATTCTCTCTTTTTCTTTATCTATCTTTTTCAATTTCTTAAAATAACACAACTTTACATTTTAAAATGATACACAATTTTTCCTTATAATAATCACTGGCCTTAACAACGTCACCATAATTATCCCTAAAAAAAAGAAGGGGGAGAAACATATGTTGAATTTTGGACAGCATTCAACATGGAAAATTAATTAGATGGTCTCTTTTTCTTTCGTATCCTTCTTCCTCTCTCTCTCTCTCTCTCTCTTCTTTCTCTCTACTCGGCTCACATGAGCCGGGTCCACCAAATATCTGCTCTTCAACGGGTACATATTACTAGCTTTTAGGTTTTCACTTTTAATTGGACGCTAAATGTTCGTGACATGTTCCCAACGTATTTTTTATAAACTGATTAAGATTAAGAGTGATTGAAAGGAAATATATCCTGACAATTAGGGTTGGCAAAACCTGCTCCGGCCCGGCTCAACGCGCATTCAATCCGAAAAAAACGATCTAGGTTAGGATTGACTCAAAAAAGAAAAATGAGCCAGAAAATCCAACCCAACCCGACCCGAGTCGGGTTAGGGTAGGCTCTCAGGTTGGCTCAAAAATATGGCTCGCGGGTTGGCTTGAAAAAATAGGTCGCGAGTTGGCTTGAAAATTGCTTGTGGGTTGCTCATTTTCAGTCTATTTAAATGACCATGTAGTATTAATGTACCAGACATGTGGCTTCCATCAACTTAAACAAAGGGTTACAAAATGAGAAATAAAAGCAAAATATTTTAGTTTCGAATTTTCTTCACAACAAATTTGCATCAACATCAATAAATAATCAGAACCACTTGCTACCAAGTGAGTAAGATATTTGAACCAAACAAAGTCAGCACAGCCTAACAATATAAAAATGGCGTGGATGTGAGAGAATTATAGACT